GCCCGGCGCTGAGCCCGGCTGAGCCCGGCGCTGAGCCCGGCGCTGAGCCCGGCTGAGCCCGGCGCTGAGCCCGGCGCTGAGCCCGGCTGAGCCCGGCTGAGCCCGGCGCTGAGCTCGGCGCTGAGCCCGGCGCTGAGCCCGGCTGTGCCCGGCGCTGAGCTCGGCGCTGAGCCCGGCGCTGAGCCCGGCTGTGCCCGGCGCTGAGCCCGGCTGAGCTTGGCGCTGAGCCCGGCTGTGCCCGGCACTGAGCCCGGCTGAGCCCGGCGCTGAGCTCGGCGCTGAGCCCGGCGCTGAGCCCGGCTGTGCCCGGCTGAGCCCGGCTGAGCCCGGCGCTCCCCTGACACCCGCCTCCCTTCTGCGTTCAAGGGACTGCACGCCGTGTGTTTGAGTTCATCACACAGTCGGTCTGTTAGCGCACAGCCAGGCTTGGCATTTCGGGGCAGCGGCCTTCACAAGTGGCTTCCCGCTTTCTCCAGATATAGCCGATCCCTGGCCCGTATTCCTGGGACGGAGCGTGGCTCCTTGCTGAGGGATTCGGGAGGCAGCAGGGTGGTGCCCGGGAGGTGTCCGGTGGTTGGGTCCTGTGTGCTGGGAACGAACTGTGTGAACTTGAGCTGGCTGTTCGGGCGCCTCCAGGGTCTGCAGCCTGGTTTTATCCATTTGTTCCCAAAGAAAGAATCCGGACCAACAAACTATTCTTCAAAAACTGAAATCTGAAATCCTAGTGGATTTGTTTTCTCAGGCAGTCTAAAGCTGCCCCTGCCTTAAGCTCTGCTGCAGAGGTAGCATTTCCGTAACTCCGCTGCTCTTCTGCTGGCCCCTTTTGCTAACGTGTGAGTAATTTACCCTAAAGGGTGAATTCTGCCGTGTGAAGAGCTCACATGCCCGTCAGTGGAGATATCTCAAGAGAGGATTTGGTAGCTCCAACTGGATCCTTTAGCAGCCTTCTGAGGGCTATCAACTACCAAACCAATCCGAACATTCATTTAAACATGCAGATTTCAAACTTTTCCATTAGTGTTTTCCATAGATGCGGAAAACAGACACTGACAGAAATGGGCCAGTGTTTAATTATTACCTTTATAATTTTTTTTTTTTTTTAAGTGTTTGACTGTACCCCAGATTATTTGTTTCCTCAGAAGTCATATAAAATACGTCGGTAGAGCCAGAAGTACGGAGCGGACTGCATGCTTGCCTTGTTTCCTCTCAGAGACCAGGTGCTGTGTTCTGGTGTCCTGGCTGAGAACTCACAGCTGTTGTTACCTGCAAAACGCTGCTGTGGGGAGCAGTGAGATGCATTTCAGTCTTTGGTGTGAACCAAACAGGGTGAAGTCCAGCCTTTCCCCTCCACCCTTGGGATCACTGGTTGCAGTGGGAGACGTGGCTGTAGCTCTGAACTGAATGACAGACCTGTAGTTTGACCAGATCCCTCTCTGATATTCCTGGACCCAAAAGGACTGTAGACTTAAGCTATTGAAAATAGACTATAGATCTATGTTTCAACAATTTTGTGAGATGGATGGGAAAAGAATCCCTTCATTATCCTTTTTTTTTTTTCTTTTTGGAATTACATGAGCGTCTGAGTTAATGGAAGCTACAGAAGGAGCAATGGGAGCAGTGAGAATCCAGCCGTCGTGTCTCAGGAGGGGAGCAGGGTTTCCCCGTGGCCCTGGGCAGGGCTGTGCCAAGAGCAGCCGCGCTCTGTGAGCAAGTGGCCCTGGCCCCCTCCGATAAACATATGGTTAAATAACCCTCTTATACAGTTATTTGTTAGGCTTTATTGGAAGGGAGTGATATGCGTGATGTTTTCATATCGGTAGGTTTAAATAGGAG